GGACAGTGTTCCAGATCTTTTACTTTTTAACTTTGGTTCTCAATTTGTACTTACTAAAATATACAAGAGAGTACAAAAGCTTTAGTTATCATTACAATCTTAAATATCTGTATCAATTTTTTTCCAATACTTCTATTTGTTCTAGAAATAGTCTGATTATGTTCAAAATACTTTTTTTTGTTTTATGTGTCTCCTATAAACTATTCCTTACAGGCTTTATGCTTTATAAGTTTATGCTTTAAATATAACAATATAGACAAAATAACCAGAAGAAGAGAAAATATACATTAACAATGAGACCGCAGTGGTAGAAATAGTATAATATATCAGGATAATGTAGAGATAGAAAAAGTGCACGATGTTAAAGTAATAGAATAAAAGTAGATAGAAAGAAAGACAAAGGAAATAAAGACAAAAACCCATGTAGTAGCCACAACAAAAATAGATCAAAAGTATGGAAAGACGACATAAGAAAATACCACAGTACCCGAATGATGAACAATAGTAACTTGATCTGTAAGAGGTCTCAATTTAAAGGAGGCCGAAGATGGAAAAGGCCAAAATAGACCTACTAGAAATATCAGATTTCAAAAAACGACAAAATCACACAGTTTCTGAATAATATTCAATTCAATTCAAGGCAAGCGAAGATATTGGATATCTAATTATTAGAAATTTAACTAGAAATATTAAAGATTAGAAATTTATTACCTCCTCAATAGAGGTGGTAATAAAAGAAATAATCTTGAACATAAGGCTCACAACCAAAGAGTAGAAGTTGTTAATGTGTTTATTTTATAGGAACCATATGATAACGAGAAAGAAAACATCAAAGACAAGATGTGTGAGACAAGACAAGATGTGTGTAAAAGTACTGGATGTAACCAAAATAAACAGGATTTGGAACGAAGTAATAAAAAAACGTCTTAAAATACAACTAATCCACAAGATAATTAAAAAAACCATAAATTAAAATTTGAATGAATCCAGATAGTAAAATAAGTATAAGAAGCAAAAGATAGTAGGGCCATCCAGGCTCAACTTTTCCTTCTAGACAGTAGAAGGTGCTCTCTGTTGGTCACTATCCTGACCGACCACTTTAGAACACTGGCGGGACCTTCATCTGCTTGAATTGGCGGATAGCCACGATAGAATTGGCAGATTCTGGGTTGGATCCTTATACAACCGAGCCAAATAAGTTATCCCAAAGATACTTATGGCTATCTGTGAAGCTACAAGGTTACTAAAAGATTATACGTTTAGGATAGCAGGAAGGTCTTAGACTTGGAGCCCCTGTAGATTACTACAGATATGGGAGCCCAGAAACGAATAAATCCTTATGAAATTATTCATGGGGTATGTCAGGGGTGATACAATAAATCTCTCTTAGGAGGTCTAGGTATCTGAAGGGCTCATAAATATATCCTGCCCGGATCTACCATAACCATAACCATTGGAAGCAAGAAGTTACTTTAAAAGACTAAAGGATTGACCATGAAGATGTGGGGTGATGCAATTTCCTCTAACCTAGACAAAAGAAGAGTCAGCAGAGACCAAGCCAAGAAGAAATAAGTATCGGAAGAAGAAAGATCCTTCAAAAGAAAAAAAGCTAGACCGACGGAGGTGTGTCATGATGAAATATCCTTGAACCTAGACAAAACAGGAGTCAGCGGAGAGCAAGTCAATAAGTTAGCAAGGCACAAGAAGAAATGAGGGGACCTCTGCAGACGAAATTTAAAAGAGACTATATTTAACAAACAAACCTTACTATCTTACAAATCAAAATAGACAATTTCTTCTCAAAATCATGTACTTTTCATTCAAAACTTTTTTAGTAATTTTAATAGTAACAAACAATTGTACACCTATTTTATATTTAGATAAGATTCATTACGTACTATAAACAATTTTATAGTTTAAGTAATAGACGATGTATTTTTAAAACATGCATTGTTTACACTACGGAAACTAATATTACACTTTATCAAACCTAAATTATGTTTACTTGATCACGTAGTAGTTCATTTAATGGTTCCGGAATATTAATTATGTACTAAAGTCTATAATTTAAATAAATGTTTTGATTGATAAAAATAATATCCCAAAGAAGAACTCTTAACAATATGATATTTAATAAAAACATGAATATACGGTTTATTGGAAAATATATTGTGAATGTATAGGACAATAATGCAGGTATGAGTGAAGCATGATTTAATAAACACCTGCTGATCAGTTGAGACCGCATATAATGTACACACAGGGACACAAAATGCACCTACACCTTGCTCAAGCGGGGAATCAACAGATAACCACACGATAACCCGCGTGTTATACGTTCAGATTTGTACTTCAAGTACTGCATTTTCTCATCCCGAGGTGTAACATTCCAAGGTCCAGGAGACAAATGGTACAGTGAAAAAACTGTTACAAATTCAACAGATAGATAAAAAAAACTCTGGACCGTTATGGCCTTTTCATGGAGTAGGAGCTTTGCCATGCCTGACAGCATTTCGTTAGAACACGTCGGAAAAACATGGACGCGGATATAAAATGATATGGTTCAGAATGAAAAATTACGGATTTTTTAAGTCTATAAATCAAAAGGAATACAAATAGAAATAACAAGGAATACTAAGCTCAGGTTGGTTAATGCCCTTATTTTTCCCATTGCTACATATGCAGCTGAAACATGGACTCTCAAAAAAATCGATAGGAGTAAGATCGAAGCTTTCGAAATGTGGGTATATAGAAGAATTCTACGCATGTCCTGGACAGAACATAGAACCAACCTGTCAATTCTGGAAGAGCTTCATATAAAAGACAGGCTACTAAACAAAGTAAACCAAGCATACCTAACTTACTTCGGCCACATAGCTAGAAGCACGGGCAAAATGGAACTATTGGTAGTAGAAGGAAAGATAGAAGGCCGAAGACCAAGAGGAAGATCTCTAATACGATGGGTAGACCAAATGAAGAGTTTTGTGGCAAAATCCCTACATGAAGCCGTCCATATGGCACAAGATCGCAGTCAATGGAGACAGCAGACTAACAATATTTAGGGTGTCACTACGCCCTGACAAGGGCTAAAGGATTGAGGAGGATAAATCAAAATATAGATTAAACGTCGACAATAGGTCTTAACAACAGCAAACATAGTCTTACAGCGAATCGTCAGCATAATAAGCCAGCTGTGGCAGAACTTTACCTATTAGAAGTTTCGATGTTTTTGCAAGCCATTTGTTATGAACCGGTTGTACTTGAGCCAATTGTCTTATTGTTATTTTTTTTTCCTGGAGGCCGTCTTCTTAAACCGTCTTTAATTCGGTTCTTTTTATTATCCCCATCAATTTTACTTTTCATCATTTCTGCTTTTTCAGACATTATTGTTTTGTGTGTATTGATTTTTGGTTTTCTAATTAATATTTTGTTTTCCATCTCTGGTTCGTGAAAGCGTAATTATTTTTAGATTTATTTTCTTAGATTCGTTTTTGTATTTGTTGTACTATTTTAATATTAACATAGACCAGTCACGGAGACGATAATGTCAGTTTTGGGACTCCAAAATGATGCAAAAAAGTTTGCCACCCTTACCGCCAGGTTCACCCTAAAACCCCGCCTTACCGTTCTCTCAGAAACAAGGCTTATAGTGACCGGCAATTTTGAATGTGTACTATCGACACTTGTGTTTTAAAGGTAAAGAGTGCAGCTTTCGATGCAATGGTGGCACTTGCTACAAATCTATTGTATAAAATAAATAGACGTTTTTATGATTCTCATATAAATATCATTTTCAAATATGAGGTATTTGAAACATGACTAAACCCAATATTCATGCCAATTTCATATTACAAACGATCTAAAACGTTTAAAACTAATTTTGTTGGATATCATAAGTACGTTTTTTTAAAACTAGATAACTATAATAACTACAAATTCTACCCAATGCAATCTTCGTAGAGGTATTATTCGTGACGTGATGTTGTACATACGAAAGCTGCACTACTTGCCTTTAAAACGATTTTTGACTTTTGTCGATTACTCTGATCAAAGGATTTCGACTTTTTACCATTGAGTTAAAAACGCCGGTAACTTTAGGCATTGTTTCTGGGAGAAAAATTCATTCTACACAAAAAGTAGATTATATTTCGATACTAAGAACAGCAAGATAGAGAACAATTTGCTGTAGTTATAGCCAACCTTCAGTAATGAAGAAGGTATCTTAAGAAGATAAGAACGATAAGAAGAAACACAAAAAGTGCTTCTTTTTATAGTTCCCTATTCAATTAGTGGATCTTGGTGAAATGGAATACTCCTCTAGATCTTGTGTGGCTCTAAAAAGTGCATGGGCATCGAGGTTGGTCCAAGCTCTTACGTTTTAAAGCCATGAGTATTTCTTTCTTCCAATGCACTATTTTCCTTCTATCTTCCCTTCCATAATAACCTTTAAGAACTGGTACTTGGAATTTCGAAATGTATGACCCAGATAAGCAGTTTTTCTTCTATTTATTATTGGCAGCAATTCTCGTTCTCTGCCCATTCGATTAAAGGTTCCCCCAAACCAACGCGAATTAATTCGTAGCGGATTCATGACGGAAAAATCGCACCGGAATTCATAGCGGAATCCTGAATGACCCCATATCAAAAACGAATATATTCGCATCATATCAATCACGTCCAGTATCGAAACCGTTGAGTGAAAAAACAAATAACCATTATCAATTTCAATTGTTAAAAAAATGTATTCCTTATCAGATGAAGAAGAAGCACTCGCAATGTTTGCACTAGAAGATGAAAATTTGAGGTAAAGTAGTAAAATGGGTTCACGATATCAACCTTGAAAGAAGGGAATGTGGCGAATTTCATGCATTAATGCCAGAATTATGAAGAGATGAAAAACGATTCTATATTTATTTTAGAATGTTGTTGTACTGGTTAAATGAGTGGAGGTAGTTTGAAGCAGAGGATGGATCCCGCAGTAACGCTGATTGGTAGCTAACATAATCTTCCTTGTTGGTAGAAGCAGAGGACGGACCCTGCAATGATGCTGATTGGTAGCTAACATAATCGTCCTTGTTGGTAGAAGCAGAGGACAGACTCTGCAGTGACGATGATTGGAAGCTAACATAATCTGCCTTGGTGGTAGAAGCAGAGGACGGACCCTGCAGTTTCGCTGATTGGTAGCTAACATATTCTTCCTTGTTGGTAAGGTTAATAAAACCATTTTTTTCATTTATCTCGGTAAAATCTGTTTTAAGGGAAGAGACGTTTGGATAAGTATCTGCACTTGCAGATCTAGATTGATTTGTGGGACATTCCCCTAATTGAAGAAGCTCCTGTTCCATGATGACTTGCGCAATTTTCATTTTTGTTTCTATTTGTCTTCTAGGAGAGAAAGTTTTTAACGTACAAGCGTGAGCCAAAAAAAGTTGATCGATTGCATCAAAACTGACTTTTTTGCCTTTAAAATAAGTTATTATTTCTTTCACAGATGTGGATGGTTGAGAGTGGCGTTTTCTGTTTTCTTTGGTGGCAATGGGAGTTTTTCGTTCAAAAGTAACTTTAGGACCTCCACTTGACCTAGGTGTAACTGCTGAGGGTTGAACCTGAATGATATCGTTGTTCGATGTTCCTGAATTGTTTGATTGAGTGTCTTGTGAACTAGATGATTGTGCTCTCCCAATTTCATTCTCAAAAGACTCTACATTTGTCAATTCTGTATATTCTGGTACTCGGACATCGCTAACGTTAGCTGTAGTTTTTGCAAAACTTAAGAATGGTTTAAATGCTTCCATCTTATCTGCCCATATCCATTTTTTCGTAGAATTTGCCGCCTGTCCAGTTTTAGTTTTGCTGGTTCTGATATACTTGGCATACGTACCTATCTCGCAAATTTCTCAATTTTTTCTTTATCTCATCTCTAAAAAAATTATTTTTAGATATCTGGCAACCAAAGATTCATTCTATACAATTGGCCATAGTTTTAGAGTTGGTTTCTCGACGGTAAGTGCCATAGTTGCAGAAGTTTGTGAAGCAATATGTAGAAATTTGCAATTAACATATTTACCCGAACCAACTACAGAAATATGGAAAAAGTCTGAAGAAGGCTTTAGAAATATTTGGCAATTTCCAAATTGTATTGGTAGCATCGATGGCAAGCATATTATTATAAAATGTCCAGACTAAACTGGAGCTAATTACCGGTGTTATTTAAAAAAGTTTTCAATAGTATTATTGGCTATTGTTTGTGCCAATTTTAAATTTATTATGATTGATATTGGTGGTTTTGGTAAAAATAGTGATGGTGGAATTTTCGAAGTTGCCAACATGGGAAGAAGATTTGAAATAAATTCAATGAATGTTCCTGAGCCAAAAAATCTTCCTGGGCAAGATGAACCTTCTCCTCATGTCATAATAGGAGACGAAGCATTTACTCTAAAATTATATTTGTTGAGACTCTTTCCATACAGCCAAAGTAAAACAGATATTTTTAAGGAAGATTATAATGTACGGCTCTGTAGAGCGAGAAGAGTTGTAGATGCTTTCTACATTTTTAATGTAGAATCTAAGAACTACGTTCTTTTTAGTAAATGCTTTCGGTATGTTAGCACAAAAATGGCGTATATTCTACAGACCATCAAAACAAAAGTTGACACTACTATTAAAATTGTGAAAATTGCATGTATCTTACATAATTTCCTAAGAACAAAAAAATGTTATGATGGATTTATCGAACTTTTAGAGCCATCAGAAACTGAAGTTAGAGCGTTTCTAAATTTTGATAATGACCCAAGGAGAGCTACGAGATTAGCATTCTCGGTCCAAGACAGATTTGTAACTTTTTTTAATTCAGGACTATGAATTAAAATTTTTATATTTTACATTTTCGCCTATTTCTTCTCCTATTTTACTCAAAACCTTACCCTTTTTTCGAACATTCTTGTAATCTTCATGGGAAAGATCATATAAAATGGGATATTGTCGAACTAATTCAATCAATTTCTCCATAATAAATTATTACCGCACTACGAACCGGACAAAAACGTAGTCGATGGCGAACTAAATTTTCGGACGAATATTTATGCAGACAAATCGCTCTTACAACAGTAAAATTCGTGCGAGTCTGAACTTGTCAATTTAGCATAGTTGAAATAATTTGATGCGAATCGCATGCGGTGCGATTTTTCGCAACACGTACGAATAATTCGCATTCGTTTGGGGGAACCTTTAAACTTCACATTTGTTGTGTGACCTGTCCAGGAAATTTTAAGTAGTCTCCCCACATTTCAAACGCCTCCAATCGGTTTATCACATTGGCCTTTATGGTCCAAGTTTCTACACCAAAAAGTGCTACAAAACATTTTTGTTCAAAATTATCTTAGCTACATTTCTTGTTTAAGATATTTTCTATGGAGTATAAATTCTTATAGAGTATAGATCAAACAAAAATATTGATTAACCAAGGGTTACATGAAGCCGAACAACTAGCCCAGGACAGAGAAGGATAGAGAGAAATCGTAAAAAAACTGTGAAGGCCTAATGGTGTCACCACATCCCAAAAGGGATTAGGACTGAGGAGAAGGAGGATAGATTCTTAAGAAATCGATGTTTTTCCCCCTACGAGCGAAGTTTTAGGGAGAAACTCATTGGGAGTGAGAGGAGGTACCAAAATTAATATTCTCAGCAAAATTCAACTTGTCTGTTTCGTTTTTAGGGTTTAAATCTCTGACGACTGAAGTAATATTATATTAACCCTTTCAGTACGGCAGACGGATTTATCCGTCAGTTAAAGAATGTACCCACCGGCCAGCTGACGTATACATCCGACATTCTTTAATCGTGTCCATTGGCCTACTGCCTTATCGATGCGACACCTGCAGAAACTTTCGTTTCATCACAGACGATCGCCGTAATTTTAAGTCAAAGGTTGACCGCATAGCCGGACGGCGGAATATTTCGGCAATGCCGAAAATATACGACGACCGGCGGCAAGGCACGTAGATTGTCTGCATCATGCTTGCATTTTTTTGCTGGTGTTAGTCTTACTCGAAATGTCGGTGGAAGAGCGTGCCGGTCCCTCTGAAAGGCCACCACGTGGCCAAAAGCGTAAGCAACAAGATTTCAGTTATTGTGGCTTAGACGAACGTGACATTAGACACATTCTTAACGTTACGGATGGGGATGATTTATACCTTAGTGAAGAAGAGCCATTTCAGAACAGCGGCAGTGAATACCACCCTGATTCCGAAAGTGAAAGTGTTATTTCTGAAGATGAGAGCATGGTCTTGTTCAAAGGAAGGTTGTGTTTTAAACAATACATAAAAACTAAAAGGCATCGCTTTGGCATAAAAATATACGTTCTTTGTGATTGCGAAACCGGCATCGTTTTATATTTCATAATATATGCAGGTAAAGCAACAAATATACAAGGCCAAGAAAATCAGAATCTGGGTGTTACGGGAGCTATTGTTGCTAAACTATTAAGCCCTTATTTAAATAAAGGGCATTCGTTATTTACTGATAACTTCTATACCAGTCCATCTCTGTCAAATTATCTGTTCCAAAACACAACGAACTCTTGCGGCACGGTACGACAAAACCGAAAACAGATGCCGCTGTTTGAAAAGAAGCTAAAAACTGGTGAAGTCGACTGGAGAAGCAGCGATACTATGTTGGCCCTGGAATGGAAAGACCGCCGCGATGTTGTTATGCTGACAACAATGTACGAAAATCAAATTGTAACACTTCCTAAGATAAGCAGAATTACAAAGGAAAACATAAAGAAACCTCTATGCGTTGTAGAGTATAACAAGCATATGGGTGCCGTCGACAGATCGGACATGATGATTAGTAGTATTGATTGCACTCGTAAGTCAATCAAATGGTATGTCAAGCTATTCTTTCATTCGTTGGATGTTACCTTACTAAATGCCCACGCAATGTTTTTGACGCAACATGCAGGAACGGTTCCAGTTGCAAAGTTTCACTTACAAGTTATTCGGCAGTTGTTGGAAAGGTATTTTATAGCACTAAGTTTGGCAACCAACGTTTCTAATAAAAAGATTTGTTTCAGATATGCGACAATTGAGGCACAACCAATTCATTTTGATCAAGGGAATTCAAGACTGACAGAACGGCATTTTCCGGAATTGGTTCTAAGGAAAGAGGGAAAGAAAAGCGCTACTAGGAGATGCAGAGTTTGCTCCCAGACAAAGGCAGGACCAAAGAAGAGAAAGGAAAGCAGCTATATGTGTAAAGAATGTGATGTTGGGCTATGTGTAGTGCCCTGTTTTAAGATTTATCACAAATTAGCCAATTTTTGAAAGTTAACTTTTTATTTCTATTTCCTTTTAGTTTAGTCCTGAGTTTTTTTTATTATATATGTAGCATTTAAATCTTTGGTTTTTCTTATGTAATAAAGTTTTTTCACTGTATGGTTTCCCTTGTTACTGTTTTTTTAACTTTTATTACGGTGACGGTTATACACGTCATCCGGCGCAGAGACAATCCAAAATGTGCCGGCGGTAAGGAAAGTACAATAAACAAAGGCCCCGTACTGAAAGGGTTAATATAATTAATATAATATTTATATTATAGTTTATTTTACTATTTTAATAGTAATATATGCTTTTGTTTTATTTCGTTATTTTCTCTATTTAATGTTTTGTATTAAGAGATATTATTTGTAACAAATGTATTTTTAGAGAAAATATCAATTGCTAGTCAACTTTTTAAATGCTCTTCTATATATTAATATGTTGTAGTATAATTCTACGCTTGCCTAACACTCCCCCTGACACTTTATTCGGATATTAGTCCTGGATGATAAAGGTTTGTTTTCCAGTTTTTGTCATTTTTTCAGACAATACTAAAAAATATATTACTAAACATTTTTGTAGATTTATTATTCAAATTATCATTGTATGTTGTAAGCTCTTTTAACTGTATCTAACTACTTACTCTTTTTACTTTGTCAGCAGTAGCATCCGTCACCAAGGCTTTCTTGCCGTTAAGCGTCGCGTTTACTATAAAACCATGGTTCCCATCTGGATCCTTAAACCACTCGGAAACTGTTTCGGTGAAGTCGATCTTCACCCAGTCCCCTTTTCCGTCTGGTTGAAGAAACTTCTTGGCGTAAACCATGTGAAAGGCTGCTGGGTCGGAATGGTCGGTAATTTTAAACACCTCTAAGACTACGGTTTGGGGCGTCCGCCTATCGGCCCCCTTGATGTATACTGAGAGAGTCGCATTGCTCACTTGAAATTTGGTATTACTCTCGCTAAATGAGAAATGTAAGATATCACGGCCTTTATGCCTCAGTCTTGGATCTGAAACAAAAAAGGTATAATTAGTTTATTTCAAAATATTTCTAAACTAAACTCATATACAAAATTACTCTTGAATTATAATATTTAACGAAATTAAAAATAAATATTTATTTTTAATATATTTGAGGGGGTCAGGCGTAAAAGGGTTACAGTGCAGGTTTGATAGTTCTGAGATAATCAGTGTTAAAGTTTTTTGAGTTTAATAAATTCTAGGAATGATGAAACAAAAATATGTCTATAGTTTATTTCTATGAACGAGAGAGTAATTAGCATAATTTTAACTGGTACCTTCGACCACTCCATGGGCGTGCTCAAGATTAATTGAAAAATTACTTTGAATAATTGTAAAAAATAAATAAAATAAATTTTTTCAGTGTTATAAAGTGTTATGTGTATGTAAACAAAAGTGACCTCTTTTATCACACACTATATTAGAACTGACTGGCCTACATTAAAAAGGGTTTTAAAAACATTTTTTTTTAATTTTTAAAAATTACAAAAATGAAAAAGAGTTTTTAAAACCGTCTAAGGTATGTTAAATAGATGAATAAAAATATTAATATAAAACTTACAGCTACTTGTTACAAATCCAAATCAGATTCAGAAGATGAACTTTCAGAACCAAGATTTATAATAACTGGCTCGATCATTTTATCAGTAATATTGTCCAGCTTCCACATTTTTTCCTCTTCTTTAATAGTGTGATTTACTGCATTTTCCCAGTTTTCAGGATTTACATTATTTACGGCCTCCAAAAACAACTGTTTAACATCATGAATTTTAAAAGTGGTATTTTTTCTTGAAACTTCACTCTTTATCTGTGCCCATACCAGTTCAATCGGGTTTAATTCACAATGATATGGTGGGGATCTAAGTACCGTCATTCCACGATTTTTGACAATTTCATCAATTTCGTATTTTTTAAATTTTTCTTTATTAAGGGCACACAACGAATGAAGTTCCTTTCTTATAGATCCGGGATGGTACGTAATATTTTTTGAACTCAGCTAATTCTGCAAGTCTTTTTTTAACCACTTGGTTGTGGGCAGTCCTTCTATAAGTCTGGAGTGATAACTTGCATTATCCATTACTATTACAAAGTTCTTAGGAAGAAGATCTATAATTTGTTCGAACCATTCTTGAAAGACATCAGCGTTCATGTCTTCATGGTAGTCACCGGTACGAGTTGATTCAAAAGTTAATAAACCACCTTCAACAAAACCGTCTGAACTGCCAATGTGTACTATTATCAGCCTGCGTCCATTTCCTGATGGTGGGTTTAAACCAGTAGATAAGTTATTTACAAAAGCGTGCCTTTGACTTGTAACAGTTTCATCCTGCCAAAATTTATTTGGTGTATGACCCTCGTTGATCCATGTTTCATCAAGATAAAATATTTTTCTTTTTTGGTTTCTCATTTCCTTTATGGTTCTTAGAAAATGTCTTCTCCATATGACAATATCGCTTCTTTCTAATAAAATAGACTTTCTGGGATTCTTTCTCCAGCGGAAGCCTATTTCTTTTAAAAGTTTGCATAACGTACTTCGACTAATTTCTGGGTAATCCTTATCATCTCGAACTGAGACAAGAACTTTATCCAATGTTGGAAATTCTTGTCTAAAGAAGAATTCATGCACTTTCCGTCGAAGTCCTTCTTTCAAATGATATTCTATTTGAAATTTTGATTTCCCTGGAGCATTACGTGGCACTTGAAAACTACCACATTTCTCTTCTTTAATAACTCTGTAAATCGTACATTTCCCAACACCAAGTGTACTGCTAACTAACTCAACGGTCTCATCAACACTTTCACATAAACGTTTGTCTGTAAATTATTTAAAACAATTAAATATTAATGTTTTTTCATTAACTATTAAAGGACCAATTTTTCGGCATTTACACGGCACTTCCAAATTTTCCATAACACTAGTATACACAATAAACTGCACCTTGCAACTGAAGTACTTACTTTTAGTGAACTGTTAAGAATTTTGAATACGCTACTTGGACCTTCCTACAAAATGGAAAAACCCACTATCACATTTTCTGTGGAATAAGTTTAGAAGGTAATTATCTAGTCAATTACTGTCGTAGATTCCTGGAATTAAAGAATTAAATGTTTGATTGTTGAAACCCTTACTTCGTGGAATGCACTCATTTCAGATAAAATAAAACGTTTTATTTTATCTAAAAATTAAACTTTATTTTGCAAATACGTAGGTACTTATTAAACTTTTATTGGTTTTATATAACCAATAAAATAAACATCTTACCTTTCCTGCAAATTCATTGGTACCTGTTAACCTCCATCACTCCGACACTGGCAACCTTATTTAGGGATTAGTAACCCTCACAACTATTGTATTCTATTCTGCTCCAACCTTTATACCTGGTGGTCATACTCAATTTAAAATTGTTTTCCTATATACTTCTGTAAACTTGTTGACAAATATCTGTTTTTCATTGAGTTACCCGTATCAACAGTTTAGGAATTTGCATACATAATTTATTGTTTTATTACTCTCTCGTACATAAAAATACACTATAGTGTAGAAAGTCTTATAAAATAATAAAAATATAACGGTATATTATTACTCTGGGTATATCCTTTTTTATTTCAATTATTGAAAAAATTGTACATGAAGCAGGACATGGTGTTTACAAATGTTAGTAGTAAAACGGTTTAAGTGCAGATGTTAGCTATTACTGATCATTTTTTAAGTATTCAACTAAACTTTATTTTGTAAACTTTCAAATACAGTACAATTCGTAATCAAATAGAGAATCAAATCAAATCAAGAAAATAACTTCTTCGGTATCGTTCCCATCTGCGTCGTCTCTGCTGTTAGTTGATTCTGCTGATTCCAATTTTGCATCTGATGTTGATGTTCCCTTCTGATGTTTAAAATTTCGGTAAAAAGAGGGGTGACATAAGGGAATGTAGTCCAATAGGCTTAGCAGATTTTTATATTTGGCATCCTTAATTGGTAGCGTCGTGTCATTGATAGAGCTCAATTTGGAGAGCTAAAAAGATGGACGTCCAGTTTGTTTTTTTCCCATTTGACATGTGTAACATGTCAACAATGTCATTTGTCCTGTCAACCTGTCAACAGGTCCTCGAAGACACTTCGTCTCAGGACCATTTTACCTATGTAGGGTCATACGTCGCCATGTTACCAATTCCAACGGTAACTGAAACATCCTAATTTGTAACTATATATAATGTAAAACAACGGTAAATTTATAACATTTAAAGGGTTTTGACCCATATATTTTGGTGGCTCATAGCATGTATACCTACCTCGTTTACACTGATGATGGATTTAACACTCCGAAAACGTTCTGTAATGTAATTGTGATAGCCCGTTTGGGCATTTTATTATATACCTTTTATAAAGGATTTGAAATATATTTTTTTTAAATCTCAAACTATTTGTTTTGAGTTATTCTGTATCTTCCATTAACCAGATTATCAAAGTATATAGCCTATTTTTTTTTAATCTCTTATAAACAAATTTGTTCGCAACTTTTTAGTGAAATTTTTAATTTTTAATAGTTTATTAATAAAAATAAAGTAATTTTGCAAAGTTTATTTTAAAGCAAAAACCATTACCTTTAAAATGATTGCCATCGTTATTCATCATTATGATGTTTCAATTTAATCGTCAAAACTAATGTAAACTATTTTATTTAATCTTATCTCTTATAAATACTAAGATCATTAATACAAGTCCTATTAATACCTGTCTTCTCTATTTATGAAGGAACCCTGTATAAACCTCATTATTACAAAATGAGTGGGCCAAGAACGTCAGCCACTTCTTACTTTTGGAAGTGATGATAATAGCTATTTCATATTTTGCTTTTTTGACCTATATGCTAAAAGTGTTACTCTTAGGCCCGCTAATAATTCTGTAGGTGGAATATAATGAAACAAATCGATTAACGTTGTTTATTAACACAAATATATTGAAAACATGCACTAAAAATAAGTCTAAGAAAACATTGAGAAAACTCAAAGATAGTGTTTTTGTGCATCACTCAACCTTGCTACTTATATATTTTGTTTTTGCTTTGTTTCGTAGCTTCGATTTTCTCAGTTTTTCTTCTTATTTTATTGTCCACAATAATGTACAGAGTGGATACCTGAATATTAATATAGGCACTTATATGGAAACCATATATTTTAAATATTGTTGTTTCTTTGATTACGGAGAGTTACGGATGTCTAGCATATCTAACAATGACAAGTAACAGTTACACAATGCGACCAGTGCCGGATTTAGTTCATGGACCGCCAGGGGCTAAGTCATACTATACCGCCACTCTCCAGTACGTATAGATGCACCCTAAGTTAACAATTCATTAAAACTATTTTATTATTAGGTAATTTATTACAAATATACAAAAAATCCATAAAGATACAAATTCACAACTTATAAAGTAAAATACCATAATTATTTACAAACAAATCTTCCTGGACTTTCTACTTGCAAACAGGTCGATGATTTTATTAAAATATAATTTTGTAAGCAGATCATTATTAATATTTAAAACAGCAAACGAATTTAATGTTTCTTCCATCATTGTATTTCTCAAATAATTTTTGACCCGTTTTAAAGTGGAAAATGATCTTTCACCAGTTGCGTTAGTAACCATCAACGATACGAAGATTCTTAGTACGTTTCGGAAGGTTGCAATTATATTATTTTTATGTAAAAGCTCCATTACAAAAGTATCAATGTGAGTTGTTGGATTTTTTACTCAACTTGACCTAGTTGTGACATTATAAAATGTTTTAATTGTTTTACTTGTTAGAGATGTATCCAAGTCATTCGAATAAATACTCACTAATACCGACGCTTTGTCTGAAATTACGTTACCCTCTGAAAGAGGTAGACAAAATAAAAATGAGAAAATGATGGCAAGATCTGCATAAGCTTTTGCTCTAGATTTGTGATAAGAGCTGCTCCTTTTGTTCAAATAAATACATTTATCACTAAGAGACTCGTAAAAATGTTGTAATGAGCTATACAAAGACGAACATGTATGTAAGTCTATATTTGCGCTTTGTAAAGATTTACTCGCTAGGTCAGTTCTTTTCAGTACTTCGAACCAAAAGGCAACATAAATACCAAATTCCAACGTAGCCATATTTTCTTGTAAATTGTTTGCTTGACAGCGAACTGCCATCTTCTAATCGTCGTTAGAGGAGGGATAACTCTGAGGTGCTTGCTTTATATCTTGATAGCATAATTTAAGAGCTTATAATGCATTAAATCGTCCTTACCATCGAGTCACATTAACTCTTTTTAGAAGAAATGTTGTATGGCCTCAATTTTTCAATAGATCAGTGAGTCGTTTCCATCTGTAAGTTGAAGCTGAGAAAAAAACATAAATTTCTTCAGGAACTAAAAAAAAAACTTTCCATAGTGCATTCTGCTGTATGTTGCACAATCAAATTTAGGAAATGGGCTGCACATGGTACGTATTTTGACAAACTATTCCTAGATTTTATTCGGGCTTGGAGACCGCTATAAACGCCAGACATGTTATTCGCATTGTCATACGATTGTCTCCTGCAGTCATCGATATTTATATTCAGGTTGGACAAAATTTTTACAATGCTGGCTTTCACATCTTCGGCTTTGTGGCCAGTGTTGTCTAAAAACTGTATGAACCTCTTGACAGAGGTTCCAGTGTTTAAGCAATACCTAATAATGAATGTCAGTTAATATGTACATGTTATATCAGGCGTAGAGTCAATATTGATTAAATAATATTTGCCACAATAAATTTGTTTTACAATTTCTTCCAAAATGTGGTCCGAAAGCACTTGCAAAAATTTAACACACCGCTTTTGATAAATAAGATACTGAACGACAGCCTTTTGAAGCATATTTTTCAATATGTTCTTTTAAAAGATGATCATATTCCGCCAACAACTCTAGTAATCCAATGTAGTTGCCAGTGCTAGTAGAACCAAATTTTTTGTCGGGTCCTATAAAAGGTAGTTCCCTACCAGCTAATAATTTTTTGACACTGACGACTCTTTGTAATATGTTTCGCCAATATGTGGTCTCATGTTCAATCTGTTGCCGCAAAGAATCATCGATCTTTCTCATACTTAATGAATTTTTTTAATAAAATTTTTAAGATGTTTTAAATGAACGACTGAATTTTCATGACTATAACATTTTTCTTTAGCCTTTTTCCAGTCGTCAACTCCAGTAAAAAAGGAAGAAGTGCAATTTTCGCTTGAAAAGAATCGACAATATAAGCAAAATAAAGAACCTGTGCTTTTGGAATAAACTAACCAGTCACACCGAATTTTTTCACAATTTTTTAAAACTTCATAGAATAGTGATTTAGTGCAGTACCTGTTTTGTTTTCCTATTTTTCTTTTTGAACATTAAAAGTCTAAAGAATTAAGGTCCTGTGTTTTGAATATGACGAGACAAAGTTTTATTATCATACTATTTCATATAGAATTAAAACGTGATCGGAGCGATATACCGCCACTCAAAATTTACCGCCGAGGGCAAATAGTCCCATAGCCCCCCCTTAATCCGGCACTGACTGCGACCATAATAGTACTCATGATAGTACTCTATAATCCGTCAAATTTTGATCGCATTCAGTTAATTCGTCTTGATGTCATGGTCGACGACAGGTATTCACACGTTACGACCTGACAAAGGTTTTTTTTAAACGGTAACGACAGATTAAAATAATTCGAAGAGTCGAAGTTAGATACTACTTGATTTGTCAGCAATCTAACAGTTTATAAGGACTTCAGCATACTCTTTATTATGGAAGGAAAACAGTGGGTATGTAACAGTCAAACACCTCAAAATATTAAAAATTTTGTAATTGTCGTTATAAAAATTAATGATTTACTTTAAATTGTTGCAATATTTAATTTGCAACACTATTTAATAAACATCTTTAAATATTTTTACATTGAAAATAATTTCTACAAAGAGACTAACGAAATGAGACAAACATAAGTACAAAGAAAATAGGTTCGAGGAAGTTGTTTTATATTATACTAATTCCTTAGTTACATACATTTCAATTGAGAACAGAACCGAGTGAAATTAGAGCATTAGTGTGACCGTCAGAGTCGCTAGGGTAATAAAATTGCTCGTCTAGACCGTTTGTCTAGAAAGGTAGATGCCTCCTTCATAAACAACAAAGGGAAAGAAGAGATATACAAGAAGTAGCTTTTTTCCTATATAAAATAAACAGTTTATAAAATCATGAATGTGTTGCCTGTGAGAGTCCACTTCAAATAGGTAAAAGAAATAAAATAAGACTTACAATTAATTTAATTTGACCGGTTTGTATAGAAAAATCAGCTTAATGTCACACTTGTTAAAAACATTTTTAAAGCTTATACATGCAAGAATATTCAGAAAATGCTAAATGAGTAATAGCCAGTTTGCCTTTCGTAACTGCTTCGGAACAGTGGAAGTTCTGTATAGTTTCACAACTCTTGCCCAAAAATGTCGAAACCAACAAAAATATCTTTTCGTTGCGTTTATAGACTATGAGAAAGCTTTAGACAAAGTTAAACATAACGTCTCATGGAATGTCTAAACAGAAAAGGACTCGACAAAAATGACATTAACATAGTGAGAAATCTCCATTGCAGGGGTGCTCAAACGGTCGATCGCGATCGACTGGTCGATCGCGAGTGCTTTTTGGGTAGATCTCGAGAAGAAAAAAAATTTTAATAAGTAGGTAGGTAACTAAACTACTGTCAGCAGAGTTAAACGTTTTGATTAATACTGAACTATACAAATACATAGAATGCTTGACTAAGCATCATTGCAATTCAAAGAAGTAGGGACAACAAAATACTGTCCACACAGCATATTTTATATTTACATATATTATCTAATTATTTTATTAATTCAATATTTATTATAATTATTAATCAAATTTGGGATGATTTTCTATCAACTACAAAAATGTATTACGTAATAAAATAACACTGCTTGCGGCAAAAGGTGGCTTTATCAAAGGAACGCGCGGCACTTGTCAAAGAAAAGCCGTGTTGTTCTTGGCGAGAGACAGTACAGTCTAGTTTTGGGCGGCGCCTTTGACGGAAACATTCGAGACTTTCGTTCACGCCGATATAAATGTTGCGCCTGCAGGAATTGGAGTTATTCTGCATTTTAACTTGATAGCGATCCTATGTCGATATAAAGTTTAATATTAAATAGTGGAAAATGAGTGCAGTGAAAAAATCTAATACGTATCATTTTAATAAGGATTGGGAGGAAGAATTTTTCTTTTCTATGATGAAGAATAAGTGCATTTGTGTTATTTGTCGTGCGTCAGTTGCAATACCTAAGCGTCGTAACTTAGAGAGGCATCATAAAAAGGTTCATAAGAACTATGAAAAGGTTCTTCCGTCACAGAGTGAATTAAGAAAACGAAAAGTAAGTGATTTGATATCTTGTTTGAAAAAAGAACAATCCATGTTCACAAGACCAGCCAAACAATCAAAAGCTGCTACGATCGCGTCATTTAAAATATCTCATATTTTGGCGAAACACAAGAAACCATTTGAAGATGGATCGGTGGTGAAGGAAGCATTTATTGAAGCGGGTGAGACTTTATTTGGAGATTTTAAAAATAAAACAGAAATCATGTCTGCTATTAGAGAACTTCAGTTATCTCGTCCGACTGTCACAAGACGTATTGAAGTCATGAGTCAAGACATCGCAGATAAACTAAAACATGATATCATGGAATGTACATACTTTTCTTTGCAGTTCGACGAATCCATCGATATGACAGATACTGCCCAGCTGTGTATTTTTATTCGGATGGTATTCAATGACATGTTGGCCAAGGAAGAATTTTTGACAATCATTCCTCTGAAGAGGAAGACCCGTGGCGAAGATATATATGACGTTTTCTTAAATTTTGTAAAAAACTACGAGCTACCAATATATAAATTAATGTGCATTACAACCGATGGAGCACCAGCAATGACTGGAAACAAAAAGGGTTTTGTGGCATTGTGTCGAGCTAATGAAGAATTCCCTTCATTTTTTTCATTCCATTGCATTATACATCAACAAGTTTTGTGTTCAAAAGTTTTAAACACGGAGGAAATTATGGGCATTGCAACAAAAATTGTGAATTCCATCCGTGCACGTAGCTTGCAACGGCGGCTCTTTCAGTTGCAGTTGGAAGATAGGGAGTCAGCTGAACACACTGATTTAGTTCTTCACACGGACGTCAGGTGGTTGAGTCGCGGAAAATTCCTAGAAAGGTTTCAAGAATGATTGCCCGAAATAACAGCTTTTCTAGACGAAAGAGGTGATGACACTTAGATTTTGAAAAACGAAAAATGGCTAAATGATTTGGTATTTTTGACTGACATCACAATGCACTTAAACACCGTTAACTTGGAGCTTCAAGGTAAAGGAAAAAATATTGTTGAGATGATTAGCGCACTAAACGCATTCAAAAGTAAATTGCAACTTATGATAGATCAACTGAAAAGAAAGGATCTGAAACATTCTCCGTCTTTGAAAGCAAGGATTCCTCAGTTGAATTATGATACGTATGAGGCTGAATTATCAAATATTTTGGGACAATTCAAAATGCGTTTTTATGATTGCAGTAAATTGGAAATCATTGAAACAAAGCATCATTAATAGCATCATTTATGGATGGATCATCAGGAAAGATATAGCATCATTTATGAGTTATCCCTTTTCATGTAAAAACATTGAGAAATTAGCTACTGAAATAGCAAGTCAGTTTAATATGAACTCATGTTCTGTTGAAAATGAGTTGGTGCAGATTATATCAGATATACATCTCAAAGCTACAGTATCTGATACAAATTTCTGGCATTTTATATCTGAAAATAAATATCCGAATGTAAGGCAAATCGCCCTTCAACTGACGGCATTTTTTGGGTCAACTTACTTGTGCGAGTCTGCATTTTCTGAAATGAAGATAATTAAGTCAAAATATCGCAATCGACTAACTGACGATCATATGACATCATGCTTGCGATTAGCACTCAGTGGTTACGTACCATCTTATGAAAAGTATGCTGAGGACATGCAGTGCCACGCTTCAACATCCAAAGCCACTCCTTGGTTAAGTTTAACACCATATGTAACTCTTTTGTTTTGTAACAACAAATAAACTCGCAATTT